CTAACCTGTGAAGTTGGCGCCTTGATGCAGGTACCTCGAAGACGGAGCTGGAGCGATGGCGCCACAGGTAAGTACCACTGGCCTCCGCCAGTACCTCTCCCAACTCTACGCTCTACCTCCTACTAGCGAGCGCCCAGCGCTGATGACTACAGCTACGGCTATGGCGCCCAGCGCTGATGACTACAGCTAGCGCTACTACTACTGCCTAGCGCTGAAGACTACTGCAGCGCTCCTCCTGAGTGCTGCGGCCGAAATCTGAAGACTACCGTCCTACTCTCCAACCGCCTGCCCGTTCAGTGCCTGAAGCTCCTATGTACTATCACGGGAGCCTCCTGACTCGGGCGAGCAGTTCAGGAGGCTGCTCTTGCCAATAATGCCGAAGGGAGGCAGGGGCTGCAGCTGCAGCTCCTGCTCGTGCTAATGCCAATAATGCCGCAGGGAGGAAGGGGCTGCAGCTGCAGCTCCTGCTCGAGCTGGCGTGGGAACAGGCCAGAAATAGCCTGTTCCGAAACCCAGTTTTCGTGCCTGAATCTTAGGRCAGGTCGAAACAAATGAGGGCCTAARAATAGYCCAGGGCCTAAGAATAGCCCTCCGTTTCAGGCTGGAAAAACTCTGGGTCTGAAAGACCCAGAAATAGGCTGAAACGGAGTAGGGCCTGCAGGCCCTCGTTTTTCAGTTTTCAGGCTGAAACGACCGGGGCCTGTAGCTCCTAAGTTTTAGGTTTAAGGCTGAATGTCTGGGACGGGTCCTACAGGGCCCGTGTGGCTACGCAGTCTGCCACACACCGCCTCCACCTTTCTTACACTCCCACCTCTCCAGACACGACAGTCCTCCCTTCCCCTGCAAAAAAAAAAAAGAAAACAAAGAAAAAAAAAAAAAGAAAAGCACCTCCCCTGACCTTTGTATGTGGCATCCGAACCTGTTGGTGGACAGGTTGCTCATCTGAAAGAACTTAGTGACACGACGGATTGAATAAACCAATAACATCCAATGCAGCGTAATTATGTAGTTATGGTGCTGATTTGCATCGTGTTGATGCTCGATTAAAACAGGTGAAGTATGGTGCAGAAGATGTTGTGCAAGGCAAGCAAGCAGCTAAAGAGGAGCTACGGCGGCGGCTGAATCTGCGGTTCGTTGACAGACCTATTGTCGGCATCGTATCAAGGCTGACTGCGCAAAAAGGCATTCATCTCATCAAGCATGCCATATGGAGGACACTGGACAGAGGTGGACAGGTACACTGTTGTCCAAGAAGCATTCCCTGCAGCTATCTTGCTTTGCAAACGTCTTGTTCTTTTTGTGTCCTTCATCGTTTGTGCCAGTTTGTGTGTTATGTCGAGAGCGATACGGTTGCATGCAGTATCTATCTTGCTCTTTTTAATTGCAAAAAAAAAAAAAAAAAAAAAAAAACAGAACAGAACCTTATGCCTATGCAACTCATATTAGTATTGGCTAGAATTGCAGGGTTCATTTGAGAAACTGGGAACTTCCGATTTCGAAAAGATTGACGGGTTCTTTGGATGCAGCTGGTGTAGTCTTCATGTTGCTTTGGAATCGTGTATTTCCTAGAGCAGTGCACCAATCAGAGTGTGACACGTGGCAGGCAGAGGGTTTACTTGACCTATTGGAGGCCTGATTCATGTGTTGTCGTCACTTAAGCTATTGGATGTTATGGGAGATGGGTCTTGTTATTTGAGGTGTGGATTCATTCATAGCCCCTCAATGAAGTGAAGTGTGTATTCATGCGGTATATCATTATCAAGTTTATTAATATGGTCAGAACTTGTTGGGAATCTAAGATCTTTCTAGTCCACATTATGATGGAGATTGATCTCAACGCTCGAGGCCACGTCCAGATGGGCAAACAAGCTATCCTAGGGATTTGTTTGTGTGTGTGTGTGTGTGTGTGTGCTGCAACTTAAAAAGTAAAATCTAGACAGCGAAATGGTCATCCTAGGGATTTATGTGTTGTAACGTTAAAGTGAAACCATGGGCATAAGGGCGATGCTGGAGACAGATTTGCTCATGATGTTTTTAAAAACAGGCAGGCAAACAAGTGTGAAATTTCTAAGAATCAGGTTGGTTGATGAATCTATGTATGTGGCGCAGATTGTGCTCCTTGGATCTGCACCAGATGGACGCATTCAGAATGAATTCCAGCAGCTGGCACATCAGCTTACGGAGCAGTACGGCGACATGGCGAGGCTCTGTCTCTCCTATGATGAACCGCTTTCTCATATGGTAAGTGGAAACCCCATGGTGTGCTCCAAACGCCTCATGTGGTGTGTGGTCCAAGTGCCCCACATGGTGTGTCCTCCAAATGCCTCCTCCCCCCCCCCCCCCCCCCCCCCCCCCCCCCCCGGCCCTGCCACCCCCACCTGTGTCCTACACTCCATGTGAGAGAAGAACGACACAGTGAAGTTTTGAAATTTGAAGTGAAGAAAAGCCTGAAAAGGCCACAATGCAAGCACCTTGAGCAGGGGGAAGGCAGGTCATTACACATTATTGTAAGTGTGATTGAAGGTACTAAGGATCTCTGCCGGCCTGAGCAGCAGAACAGAAGGGTCGAGCGTTGTAAGTCCTTTCGCCGGAGGGATGTGGTGTTCTTTGCTGTTTATAAGAAATGTCCGTGAGCACCTTATGTCGAGTTTTGAATTTGATTTGGAGAAACTGGGGATCTTTAGCTATTTGGGGGCAACCCATTGTGCACACGTAAGAGAACCGAAGGTGGTGGTCCTTCGACGATTGCTCATGATGGAAGCACGGTGAAGTTAGTAGGCATGGAGTTGTGCAAAAGTGATTGGGTGTCATTGGAGTCGTGCAAAAGTCGATTGGGCATCAGTTGAGAATTGTTTCAGTCGTTCGAAATGATAGGTATCATGGGATCATGCAAAAGGCTGGTATGTCAATGCGAATGCAAAGATGTGTAGGCATCGTTATTGCAGCGAATGCGTCAATGTAGGGGTAACCCATATGATGGAATAGTGCACCTCGTCGGATATGTTGGAAACATGCAACATCAACAAAATGTCAATACCAAGTGGCAGCTGCATGTTGCTAAATTCTTGGACATCGCGGAATGTAGGGATTTTTTGAAGCTAGCCTTTGTCAGCCGTTTCCTTGTTTACTACGGGGCTGTGGCTCAACCCCGGGGTTGAAGGTCGAGGACGGACACCCTTGCTGACTTTATTGGTGTATTGCCTTGGGAACTCGGGAAGAGGGAAAGATTATAATAAAATTCCCAAAAATAATATTTCAGCCTCCTGATGAGTCGGTGAAACTCCGACGAAACAGTTTGTCACAGCCCCTCGTTTGTTGTCCTCTTCTCCCTCTCTGCCTACGGTTTACCGGGCAGTTCTATTTGACAATATATATATGAAGCATCTCAAACTTTTGGAGATTCATACATGGAATTACCTGGCTTTAGAATTTCAGAAAGAAAAACAAAAAAGGTATAAAAGAACTGTTTTTTATGTGCTTTAGCTCACTGTAAGTTGGACTCTCAACAAACAATTCACATTAGATGAAATTACATTTTATATGTTATTATATTGTGATGGGGTGTGAACTGACAGTTTGTAGAGTTTTCCATCTGGTGTGGGTGAGTGATAGTCTGCTTTGATTTTTGCCACAGGTACCTTGAGGGCAGTGGTTGGTGGTCGCCACCACTTCACAGGGGTATCAGTTGTTGGGCAGTGGTTGATGCTTAACCACAACGGGGGTTAAGGTGGATTATCACGTACAGCGCAACCAGCTAGGGGATTCTCCTAATGAGTGGATGAAACTCTGACAAAACAGTTCGTTACGGCCGCCATATTATCTTAACATGAACTATAGCTTTAGGTTTTTGTGACAAATCGGGGAACCCTAAACCCAACTTCTTTTATTTCCAAGATCTGCAGAGAAACTCTGTGTCACGTATCTCCGGACTGCGAATTCGGGGCTTTTCTTTTGCCAACGTGTCAGATAAACACAGTTTGATCATTGGACTCGTGTGAAAAGGAATGTTTTGACTGCTGACAGGCTGACCAACGCGCCTTGACAACCTTGCGTTGACATGTCGACCACAAGGTAGCAGGAGATATCGCGAGCTTCTGATGGTGGCTTCGAGGAGCTCGAGTCGTGAAGTATCACATGTGCTGTGAAAATGGCATGTCACGCAGACAGGAGTGTGCGCCAACATCTTTAGCATAACTGATACCTCACATGCTGAGGGGGGGGGTGTTCTCGTCAGCAGATCTGCTATTTTTTTAGCCACCCTCATCTTTGTTGTCCTTTTGCTGATCCATGTGTTATATGCTCAATTGGGTGATGATGGACGGGTTGATGCAGATATATGCCGGTGCGGATATTATTTTGGTGCCATCAATGTTTGAACCTTGTGGGTTGACGCAGATGATCGCTATGCGCTATGGGGCCATCCCAGTTGTCAGGAGAACTGGAGGTAAATGTCAAGCCTCCATTTGTCTCCACCACATCCCAGATTTTGCGTGCAGATTAGAAGAGGGGTCGTGGAGGGGGTGGAGAAGGCGTTTCAGTTGTTGGTCTGCAATTGCTTACCGAATTCCCGTTGTGCACTCGGTTCGGGAATGGGCAGGATTTCCCACTTTGACATGGCTTTGTGTGTGTGCGGCGGGGCCTGAAGGCCTAAAGCATGGCCCGGTAATCTACTGTGAAGGAGCCTGTGGAACCCGTGGGAGGATGGCCCATGTGTGTGACCGGGTTGAGTAGCGCTGGTGGGTCCGGGTTGAGTAGCGGTGGTGGGTCGCGTGCCATTGGGACTGAGTGCACGTGGGTTGCCGTGTCCCTGTGAGGTTGTGTGTGGTGTGTGTGCGTTGGACACTACGGCCCTGCCGGGGTTGGGTGGATATTGCGACCGGTACGGGGGTCCGGGTTGAGTGGCGGTGGTGGGTCGCGTGCCATTGGGACTGAGTGCACGTGGATTGCCGTGTCCCTGTGAGGTTGTGTGTGGTGTGTGTGCGTTGGACACTACGGCCCTGCAGGGGTGGGGTGGATACTGCGACCGGTACGGTTCCAGTTTGAGTGCCGCGACGGGGCTGTAGTGGTTAAGAGGCTTGGTTTTGGTCGAGGGTGCTGGTTCGAAGCCGTGCGCGTGTGGCGGGGCCTGAAGCCCTAATGCACGGGATCTGTAATCTACTCTTGGAAGCCTGAGGAGGACGTTGTTCTATTACAAAGACTTTTGGAAGCAGAGAAGACCCGAAATAATGTACTATGAGAAATGACGACCACAGCCATTCATTTGTGTAGGAGGACATTGTTGTGTTGCAACGAAGATTGGGAAAGCAAACTCAAAATATAAATGCAAGATGAGAAAATCTCGAACACTGCAGTGTTTGTGTGTAGAGGTGATGCCGTGCCAACTGGCGCCTGTGGGGTAATCAATTCTGTTATGGATGTTTTTGTAGGGGCAAGAGGAGATTAACGGAAAATCATCTCCCAAATTATCGAGTGTTCTCGTGCACCATGGGAAGATGAATGCATCCATCGCTGTATTGTGCTAGTCACGGTCTGTGCTTAACAGCGCTCGGTAATGAGATATGTTTGGATGCTCTGTGGCCTTGTTTGACATTATGGGGGGCAAGAGGAGATGCAGGGGTCTAAACTAGTTAAACAGGATTAAAAGTGGTGGATAGCCTTGTTCCAATAGGTCGTGGTCAACGAGAACTTATTATTGGAGATAGACAAACAGGTAAGACTGTATAGCTATTGATTTTACATTCTTACCGCGATGACAGAGTTACTATTTATAGAATGCATTCGAAAAAAAAGATGCGTCGAAAACAAGGCCATTCTTACTTACATATGTAATTAGTAGCTGATGCGTCGAAAAAAAGTGTAAATTAATTAGTGCTCCATTTCCTATAGGACCAGATGGTACTAGAGCATGGATTGAAAAGTTATGTAATGTTTTTAGAGCATGGATTGAAAAGTTATTTAATGTTTTTAACATTGAACCAGACATTGAACCAACAGAAAATAGAATATGGGATGGACTAAGGTATCCTAACAGACCGAGAGATTTGAACCTTTTTCTACCTAATGGTGGGTGTTGATTTATGCGTGTCATCCTATATTATTATATCAGCAATGGAATTCGACATTGTTGTGTAAAGGCATAGCATTCTGCAGGACAGCAAGTTTTGAATAGAGGTTAGGTCAGTTAATTACTTTTGGTTTCACTAACTTTTCCCACTGTTGTCGTGTTTGCGTATTTCAGGTTTGGTTGACACTGTTTTCGACGTGGATCATGACAAAGACCGAGCTCAGCATGAGGGGCTGGAGCCAAATGGTTTCAGTTTTGAGGGCACTGATGCCGGAGGATTGGACTATGCTTTGAACAGGTGTGTGTGTGTGTGTGTGTGTGTGTGTGTGTGTGTGTGTGTGTGTGTAACGACCCTTTTCCACCCATATGAGTAGACCTAAGTTGAAACAGCTTTACCTCCAGAGGAAATACTCGAATGCTGTTGAGAGTAAATCATTAGAATCAAGGCTGTTTTCAATGTTTCCAGCAAGTCCAGTTTGGCGTGAGGTATGCCGGAAATGGTTTTTGACTTGTCTTTGGAAATCTAAATGTAAGTGTTCGGAAAAATGGTGAATCGAACAGCCTTGGATCAAAGCTCAAGGATTAAATTTGATTGTTTGATTGCTGCACTCATAATAGTTATCTTGCAGTCAAACAACTGTCACGCGGGCATGAACATTGGGAGCATCCGTTTGTATGCAAGTGTTTGCAATACGAAATTATAATGCATCACTCACTCAAGATGACAAGCACATGACTTTGGCTGCTTTCTTTTAATTAATATAATATAATCCAGACAGGATCTGACGAGTACCGACTTTACCACTTTTCTTCTGGCATATATATGGATTTTTTGTGTCCAGTCTGGTTGGTTCAGCCGAGCTATGATCCTGGACTAAAGATTTGTTTTGTAAACTTGTGTTTGCATGGTGTGTGTGTGTGTGTGTGTGTGTGTGTGTGTGTGTGTGTGTGTGTGTGTGTGTGTGTGTTGGGCGGGGGGGAGGAAGACGTGGAGCGGGTTCTGTGTGTGGGACTTGTCCATATGTGTGTGTCTGTGTGTGGGACTTGTGTGGGACTTGTGTGTGTGTGTGTGTGTGTGTGTGTGTGTGTGTGTGTGTGTGTGTGCTGGCTTTTGCTCAGGGCATTATCGGCTTGGTACGAGGACCGTCCTTGGTTCCAGTCCTTGTCCCGGAGAGTGATGGAACAGGATTGGAGTTGGAATCGTCCGGCACTTGACTACATTGAGTTGTATTACGGTGCAAGGAAGCTGTAGGCAGTTGTATTCATACGGTGCAACGTATCCCTCATGACTGGTTTCCCTCTCTTTTCAAGAGAGCCTAGGCAATGTGTGTGTGCTTTCTGCACAGACAAGAGGAACGTATTGAAGTGACGTATGGGCAAGGAGACATCTTGATCACCATGCAGCTATGGTATGTTCTTCCGAAGAGTTAATTTGACAAAGGAAGAGAGGAGCGGCGGTATATCAGGACTGCAGCACGGATGAATGGACGGATGGAGCAGCATGAGGATCGTAATGCAGCTGTCGTGTATGTTTATTCACAGCCTCTTGGCATATGTTTATTCACAGCCTCACATGCTGTGGCATGTTTATTTACACCCTCACATTATGTATGTTTATTCACAGCCGCACATTGTTTTGTGATGGCTGGTGTGTATGTCCAATCCAAGATTCGAGCACACAACCTACGGCTTGCAGTGCAGACACCTAACCAATAGGCTTAAGTTGGCTGGAGGAATGTTGCAAGTTACATATAATGTAGGCAGACGAGCATGATTGAAGGAGATGATCTTGGCTAGAGGTAAGGTAGACAAGCAGGAGGTGACGGATTGGATTCACGGATGGGAGTGACCGAGGGCATGGGACATGCCAATTTCTTAATGATGCGGCTGCGGTGATGTTGTTGAGCATAGCACACTAAGTCTTTGTAGTGGCCTATTTAGGGGTTCGGAAAAAAGCAAGGATCGTAGAATGGGGGAGGTCGGGACACAGGTTGGGGATGGATAAAAGGGTACAGGAGTTGGTGGTGGCATTGTAGACTCCTGTTTGTTTCTTTGTCCTCCTCTGCTTTTCTCCTGTGTGCTGCTTTGCTGGTTGGAGCAGAAAGTAGGATGGTATTAGGTATAGGATGGATGGATGGTTTCGCGTTACTAACATTCGGGGGGGAGTAAAAGCTTCAAAGATGTCATTGTCGCTTTGCAGGGTAAAGGCTCAGAATACTGGTGGTAGGGTGTGCTTGTGGATTTGTTGTTTAGTTATTATTTGAAAGTATTTGTGAGTTTGTAGAGGACATTTGATTGTCATGGTAGGCATTGGTAGCCAGATGGCAATCATGGCCTTTCATAATCTTTTATCTTCCCATGTCTCTCTCTATCTTGAGTAGAGTTTGTGGATATTTAGCTCAGTAAGATTGTAGCATAGTTTCAAGTGGGAACTTTCGACTTCTTTCGACTTCTTTCGACTTCTTCGACTTCTTTCAACTTGCCTTCTCAACAACGTGTGTTGAATCTGTCTGTGACAGAGACCGACTGTCATTCTCGCCACAGTATCGAGATTAGGACTTTCCTAGGTTGTCTCGAGGACCACGGCTGCTTCATGTAGTGCTCTCTGTCCCTTGTGGCTTCTGAGGAGCTAAGGACACATTTACAGCCAATGGAATGGCAATGGCTCTCTGCTTGTCATTTGGGGGGCAGTGCCCCGTCGCCAGAGGATGGCATTTACATGTTTGTTCCTGTTCAATCTTGGTATCAATCTTGGTATCAATCTTGGTATCGTCTCTGATCGCTCTAAAAGAATTTGAGATCATGGTGAGCAAGGAATGATGACAGCCCTTTATGTCATTGAGCTATGGTTTGCGGTCAATCGTGACTTATGCGTTGTGAACTCTAAACTGTGAGAAGGTCGTTGCCGACGTTTGTTTGGTTCTGGCTTGATAACAATACGCTCTGCCTCGTTTGGATGTGAGAGGAGTGAAGGTGAGGGCTGAGATACGCAGGCAACGAGTGCGAAAAATGTGTTGAAACGTGGGTGTGCTGAAATCTGATGTGACAATGTAGCTGAGATATGACAAATGTGATGGAGGATAAAGTCAGATGTGTGACGAATGTCCGAAGTGCCAAGATGTGTTGCTGAAAGGGCGCTAAAATGTGCCAACATTCACTCGCATGGTTCAAAATTGGCTTGAGATGAGGGATAAAATGCAAGGGAAGTGTGATGCTCTGATTATGTGTGATGCAATGCAACAAACTGTTGTGGCAAAACTGTGAGAAATGGAGTTCAAAGACGTGTGAGGAATGTGGTTGTTCTCATATGTGACGAACTGTGACGGAATGTCACAAAACCTGAGAGATGGTGACAAAACCTAACAAACATATGACATACCTTCTTCCATTCATAAACAAAACCAATAGTTAAAATCAATAAAAAGACCATCATAGACCAAAATCCAAACAATCCTATTTTATTGAAAGAATCTGCCCAAGGAAATAAAAAAGTAACTTCTAAATTTTGGGTCAAAAGTTCCACTGCCCGTTCACCCGTCCAGTCTACTAAAGTGCCCACCAAACCGTGCAAGATGTCGTACATCACACGGCTTTCCAACTTGAGTAATGAATAACCTCATGCATGATGGATGACTCCAATCAGGAAGTCGCCCGATATCGTACAGTTACGACTCTGGCGAGTCTCTTCGAGTGTCTCCAACCACTCTGGCCAGACCTTTCTGCTCGAGCGAGCCTCTTGGAATCCTGACAAAGAATGTGGTTCTCATATGTGACGAACTGTGACAGAACGTCACAAAACCTGACCCCACCCTGGGGTGGGTGGGAAAGATGAACGCTTCCAAAACCCTAACAAACATATGACAAACGAGTGACAAACAAGTGACAAAACAAGTGACAAACAAGTGACAAACACGCCACAAAAACGCAACGGAAACCTGACAAACGAGTGACAAACGAGCAACAGAGCGACAAATGAGTGATAAAAACGTGGCAAAAATGCGACAGTATGAGTGATGAAAACGTGAAGAAGATGTGACAGTATTTAACAAAACATGATAACATGTGTGGTGGTCTGCTGTAATTGAAAATGTGCTACCAATGTAATGACATCATTTTCATGCATTTGGTCTGACAATTTGGCGAGCTGTGGTGTGACAAGATGTGATGCAACGTGAGAAAAAGTGAGAGTGGCAAAATTTGGTAGAACATGACAAAACGCGATGGTGTGTGACAAAACATCAGATGTGACAAAATGTGAGAGGCAGATGTGGCGTGTTCCAGGATGAGATGTGGTGAGATATAGCGATGCGTCATATCGTATGAATGAGGAACGGTCTGGCTGGCTGTCGATGAAGTGCGTCCCATGGGGGAAGCGAAGTGGTTGCACTGCAGTCGTGGTGTATTTGGAATGTTCTAAAACCACGGGAGCGCCCAAATTCATCCGACTAGAAACGTTTCTACTCTATTTCTTTTCCATGGCCGATAGCTGGGCCAAGTACTGGTGGTTTAACATTGTGGAAAGGACAACAATGAGTAGTTGACGACATGCATGTTTAGTGTGCTGCAATGATGCAAGTACTGGCATAACAAAAAATAGCTGAAGAGTCCACTGTTTGTCAGCAAGCATGTGGTTGGATCATGCAGATGCACAGTAGTGAGGTTTCCAGCATGCATCATCTTTTCAGCTCCCCTCAACCTCCTCATTGGAGATTGGGACATGTCCTTCTGTTGCATTGGAAGAGTTAGTATGTCAGCAGGTGGGGACAATCGGATCATTTTCTTCTTTTAGTTGCGTCCATGGTGGGGGGGGGAGAGGACTCGGGAAATGGATGCAAATCATCACCCGAGCACCACAAGTGACAAGGCTTCAGTTTCGATGGGTGCACGAGACATCCATTGTCTCCTGAGATATGGTGACCACGTCGCCGTTCAGTCCTTGATGCTACTTGCATGGCTTTGCTCCACTAGACACCGGTGAAAGTCTACCATGTTTACATATGAGTTTGTTGTTGCAACAGATCAAAACCGGAGCGTGTTGGAATTTAAGGTCTTACGTTTCTAACAATGATTTTGCCATGTTGCTGGTGCATGCACACACCAGGCTTACTTGGGAATTTACCAAGCATATTAGCTTATTAACACAAAAGAACATGACACCAGAAAGCCTGAGAAAGGTATTACTGAGGGAAAAATCTGCACGAGTTAAGGGCAATATCAAGTCATTGGTCGAAGGCCAGAAAGAGGGGTCGAAAGTTGCGTCCTGAGTCACTTGAGGTCTGAGGAAGTCCCTAAAGTCAATTTCTCAAAGTCGCCCCCAGAAATCCGAATAGTACGCAAGTTGAAATAGTACACATGTATGTTCTATTCGAACAGATGGGTGTTCTATTCAAATAGAACATGGGTGGTGGCGGGTCTCTCTCTCTCTCTCTCTCTCTCTCTCTCTCTCTCTCTCTCTCTCTCTCTCTCTCTCTCTCTCTCTCTCTCTCTCTCTCTCTCTC